TATACCTCTCACAACTTCCTCTGGAGCTTTCTCCACAAACTACACATTTTCGCGTTTTAGAAATCGTACAAAACAAAACAGTTCAAAACCGATGCACCGCGGTGCGGTTTTAATTCTAACGAGTGTTTTATTAAGACATTCTTTTGATGGTAATGGTATTTACCTTTGGTGAGTTGAGGCGAGTTACGAGGGCGTCATATTCGGTTTGCATCTTGGAGAGACGTTTGGAAATGCGTTGAACTTCAGAAGAGATATCAACCATGGCGGCAAGAGGTAGATATGCCTCTAGTCCTTCGCTGGCTACAACGTGGACTGAGAGATTTGCATCACCTGAAAGGACCAAACCATGTGGAGTTTTATTGTGACCACGAGTTGAAGGGATTTCCGCAAAAATGTACACAATTGAGATAAGATACAAATAGAGAAAATAATAGACCAAAAAATTGGGTCAAAGATTATTATACCAGGAGGAGCATTGGTAAAATGGACGTTGTTTAAGTCAAGCCTTGATAGAAGAGCTAACACCTCCTTTTCTTTCTGCACCGAGACAGAAACAGAGCTTTTAATCAGGAAACACAAAGGAAAAACAAGAAACAAATTCGTAAGAAAATTAAACTGTTCGGAATCTCGCATTAAAAATGAGGAAGTAGTGTATAGGATTCCGCCAGTTGTTGTCAATTGGTTTTTTTTTTTACTGCCAAATTAGAAGGGACAAGTAACTGACCGAAATATATTCAACAACCTCTGCACTCCCAACAACTGAGGCAGATATACGCTTTACCGGTTCCACCGAATACTCTGCTCGTACATTTCGAATTGCTCTAGTCTGTGATTTAACAGGCAAGGTGTCAACAAATTTCTGACCTCTAATATGAAAATATTAAATCCTTTATGTGTTCTGTTGGATGTTTCAGAATATAAAGGCAGAAATTCATACTGACCAGAGCTTGTAAGTTCTCAAATCTTTTTATTGACTCAACATTCCTTGGAAGTGAATTTTGTGGCCATGGAGACACAATGAGTGCTTCTTTCCTGTAGGGAAGTGCCTGCAAATACAAATGTACTCAGAAGCTTTTTACATCATGCTCAAAACAAAGTTACACTACCAAAGAAGACCTCAGAGATAACAGCACTGGTAAAAAACCTCCAATGAGCATACTAAGACTTTAAGGTATAAGGAAAATCATGGCCGGTGCAGTTGGCCTAAGTAAATGGTGAAGGACCATTAAATGTAGGAATGAAAAACCTAAATAGCAAAACTGAGAGCATGTTACCTGCCATAGATCCTCGGTTACAAACGGCATAAAGGGATGCAACAGCTTAAGTATATTCTCAAAGACATATAACAGAACTGCCTGAGAAACCAGAGAATCTGAATTGCCTCCAGATCCATACAATCGAGATTTGCTGGCTTCAATATACCTTAAGAGTAGAGAGTAAGACTAGTGTGTCAGTTAAGTCCAAGAAACATGTATTGGTTGTTAAGAGTTCAGGTGGTGATACCAATCAGCAAAGTCACTCCAAAAGAAATCATATGTCTCTCTTCCTACATCCCCAAAGAACAACTTCTCATAGCTTGCTGTGACAGAATCAATGAGAATATGGAGTTTTGACACCTGAAAGTAATATAAAAGGAATATAAGGTGGTAGGCAGATTGATATTACGGCAATTATTTGATAACTCCAGGGTTAAAACATTATACCGCCCAAGATTCAGGTAAGGATAAACTGAGCAGGGTTTCCTCTTTGTCCAGCTAAAAAAAAAAAGCAGAATTTCAGAAAAATATATTATAAAACATGTTTCACAAAAGAATCAATCCTAAGAGAGCAGCAGTGATGTATGCAACTTAATCAGCCTAAGGTAGCTTATCACTTCTGATGCGTTTCTGCAACTGTTTTAACTTATGGCAAAAGGTAAGCAGAAGGAGGCACTCCATGAAAGAGGCCTGACCAATCTGCTATATTTAATGCTACTTCGTTTTTTTCTGAGACTTTTATTTGTCCATGAACCCATCTTGACACAAAGACAGTCGTAAACATCTTTTAAATGAGTTAGACTTTACATCATACTTAGTCTGTCACTAAAAGGACAAAGGGATACTAACAGTTTCCTTATACTTTCTAGTGGAGATGGAAAAGCAAGCAAACCTTGAGGGCCAGCAAATTCTCCCAAGCAGATGTATCTTTTAAACTAGGCAGACTCTGCAGCACAAACTTTCCAGCATTCCACAGTTTGTTGGTGAATGCTTTATTTGTAGTTAACCTCTCTGTAGATAAGTTCAGATCCTGACAGAAAGATAACGGGGAAAAGATAGAAAGGAAAATAGACATAATATGACACCTTAATGTAAGCCTTACAAAAAAAATATGGTTCAGCGCCTAAACACACTAGAGATCAAACCTGACCAGCAGTTCCTAGTGCAATCGTAAATCTCAGAGCATCAGTGCCAAAATCCTTGATTGTGTCAAGCGGATCAATCACATTCCCAAGACTTTTTGACATTTTTCTCCCCTGAAATTCCAAACAATGTGGTTAACTACATGGACATATACACAAAGAGAATACTAGGTCCCCCTTAAATAGAAATCCTAGAGGTTACTTAACATTTCATAGCATAGAGGGAGAAGTGAGACACAGTGATATGAAAAGCCTCAATGATCAAGGTTTGAGTATTTATCTTGTCCTGAAAAGAAGAAAAAAAACATTGGCTAGAACAGGCAAAAAAAGCCTAGACTTACTTGAGAGTCCCGTATAAGTCCGTGGAGGTAGACATGAGAAAATGGAACGGTCCCTGTAAATTCTATTCCCATCATAACCATTCTTGCTACCCAGAAAAATAGTATGTCATGCCTGTCCAAACAAATGGACACCAGTTAATTAAAGGAGGTAATGGGAATTTCAAAGAAGCAAACTGCAACAAAAGCGCAGGTTCTTTCCGAGTTTTACTTAATTTAACACATCAGTTCTTGGTAACAGAAAACTTCTTGTTGGTCCTAAAATTTTTCCTTACTAGTGAAGGGCCTAGCATTAACATTAGCCCTGATAGTAGCACCACTGTTTTCCTGATCGACAAGAAAGAAAGGAATATACCCTGTTTCTAACATATTTGTAGGGTAGAAGTTATTGAAATCCTTCGATGATACATCAGGCCAGCCAAGAGTGCTGAATGGCCACAATGAGCTGCATAAAAAGAAGAAATAAACATCTAAGGTAAATTATAGGAAGTTCTTGCAAGATAAGGATGATATGTTCAGCAGAATATGTTTGTTATAGGAAAACACTAATTTATTGTGTCTATTCCAAAGGAACTGGAAAATTCACATGATTAAACTACAGACTTTTCTATAACAATTACGCAGAGAAGAGAAAACTACAAACTCCAGATAATTCCAACTGGGCAACTAACCTGGAAAACCAGGTGTCAAGAACATCTGGATCCTGATATATTTCAACATCTTTTCCATACTTTTCATGGGCTTTCTCAAGGGCTTCTTCAGCATTTTTGGCAACTATGTAGTCCTCCTCGCAATCCTTTCCAACCACATACCAAACTGGTATGCGATGCCCCCACCACAGCTGCCGGCTTATGCACCAATCCTTAATATTTGTCAGCCAGTGATTGTAAATCTGCAAGTGGCGACAGGAAATATAAGTAAAAGGAGAAGTATGCAGTGTAAACAATCAAACATCGAAACGTTGCAATGAATTTGCCAAACTGACACGAGAGAAAAAAGAGAGTTCAGCTTAGTAACTAATAACACACAAGCAGTCGCTTGCATACCTTCTCAAATCTCTCAGGTATAATGGTAAGTTCTTTTTTTTCAACAGCACGAAGAGCCTTTTCAGCTAAAGGCTCCATGTGGACAAACCATTGTTTGCTTACTAGTGGCTCAATAACCTAACACCAGTTAAACCGTGCATGAGAAAATATATGAACTTCTAGCAGGAAAATTGATACTAGGACAGCAGAAAAAATACTTCTCCACCACGCTGAGATCTTGGAACTCGTAAAGTATGAGGCTCCTTCTTAACAGCTAAACCTGTCTCCTCAAGATCTGCCCATAGTTTCTCCCTCGCCTTAAACCGGTCAAGGCCACTGAAAATACGATGTATGTTATGGCGCCATGGACATTAAGAAGTAACCTAAGGGTCGTCCTTTTTATAATTTTGAAACTAATGCAGCTAACATATAGGTTTATAGAAAAATGTTACCAAAACAAGCCAGCAACGTCATTTAGTGTCGCATCCTTGTTCATCACATTCAGAATGGGGAGACCTGTCTTTCTTGCAAGAAGATAATCGTTGTGATCATGCCCAGGACTTATCTTCAGAACACCAGTCCCAAAATCCTTATCAACATACTGCCACGGTACACAGAAAATACTATGAGGTAACTTCAGTTGCTTGCTTCTAAGTAACTAGATAGAAGTTCTCCAGCAAAAAATCCTGATGAGAAAGGCATGAAGAACAGCAAAGGAAAAAACCAGTGCAACCTTTTCCTTGTTGAGTTTAGAATAATATATTTGATCCTAAAAGACATCATACAGAGTGCATAGGCAATAGATCTGAGTTCACCTTATCGGAAATAATTGGGACATGTCGGCCATATGTCATAGGTACGATTGCTGTCTGGCCAACATACTTAGAATAACGATCATCCTGCGAGATGCCAAATAAGATTTCACAACATTAATCCCCAAAAGAGAGTACCTATTATCGGAAACGATTAGAAAAAGATCCACATTCACATGAGATCCAATAAAAATTATCATTTACTTTGTCGATTACATCTGCTTACATTAAAATAGAACAGCAACCTGACAGGACTAAATATTCAGTTACCAATTATTTTCAAGTAGAAGAAATACACATTAAAAACCTCAAAAGGAAGAAGAAAAGAAAATGTGCTAAAAATTGTTAGTTTTCCTCCCCAATAAAACTTGCTTCTAAGTTTGTCAACTGAGTTCCGTGCATTCAAAAAGAAACCAAAACTAGAACACGTGACTTTGATAGTGCCATATGTCATTTCTGATATCCTATTAAAGAAAAAAAATATATCACCACCTACCTCAGGATGCACGGCAATGGCCACATCACCAAACAATGTCTCTGGACGAGTCGTTGCTATAGTAAGAAAATCAGGACTGTACGAGGAAAGATCAAATAAGCCTTTTCCATAAGTAGCATAAAAGTAATTTACTAGCACGAATATCAATTAAAGCTAACTACTGCTGAAGCAACTCTTACGGACCCAAAATTGTATTCGACAAGTTTTAATGATCATACCACATAATCTAAAGCCTTAGTAGATACGCATTTCAAACCAAATCATGCTTCTGTGAAATCTTTAAATAGCAGAGAATAATCAAATTGAAGTAAGAAGAAGTTGTCTTTCCACATAGTTTAGCTATTTAAAAGGGTCAATAAAAGACAGAGAAGAAGAGGAATAATAAAGGCAGCACTGGTAGTTGGACAATACCTTCCAGCTACACGGTATTTAATATGGTATAGAAATCCAGGTTCCTCCGAATATTCTACTTCCTGATAAGAAAAGACACGGTCACTTCTAGAAAGAAGAAACATAGTCAAACAACAGAGTAAGAGATAAGAAACATCACGCACCAAGTCTGAAACAGCAGTCTGTAAATTAGGGGACCAGTTGACCATGTAAGATCCTGGAAGAACATTATGCCAAAATCACCAAACTTCATATGAGTACAGAACATCAGTAATAACAGCTAAAACATAAAAAATCAAATATAATAGCTTACCTTGATATATCAACCCCTTGTCATGAAGCTTCACAAAAGCCTCGATCACAGCTCCTACAAATTCGGGATAAAAATGAATCAAGGAATATACAGAATGTATTCAAGATGTAAGTACGTATGATTATGAAAACAAGAGCAACGAGAAATTTTACGAGCCACCTAGAAACTGCATATTATATTACTTGCCGAGTTTTTGGGTTCTAAAATACCACACAAAATCATAAAATCAACTTTGAGCACTACCTAACGTTTTTTTTTTTAAGCATCACCATCTAGAAGATATTGAAACTATAGAAAGTTGCCTTACGACTCAATTGCTCATCAAGAGTGAAGCGCTCTCTACTCCAATCACAAGAAGCACCCAGTCTCTTAATCTGATTTGTGATGGTTCCACCATACCTGACAAAACCCACACAAACTATAATTCCAGCCTTACCCTTCAAAATCAGATACAAATACAATGGACTTTATCTTTTAATGAAGTGGTACAGGAACATTAAAAGTACTCAATTAAAAGAAAGGTTCTGGAATCTTCTCCTGCTTAAAATACTGCAAACATTTCCAGCAGATCTATAACTTACTTCATCGAAGAATGAAACACCGCCAATGTATAATAAAAATATTTTGAAATAGATAATTTGAAGTAAGCCATTGCAGTTGATTAGATAGCATACTTTTCTTTCCATTCCCAGACTCTTTTGGTAAACTCTTCTCTACCTAACTCCACTCTCTTAATGCCTTCTGATGCTAACATCTTTTCCACGACCAACTGTAAAGAAATATAGTAGCTTCAGTGAAAACAGAAACAATCACCAAACAATGCAAATATTATCTATACACAATATCAAAGAAAGGACAATTTAATAAAGAAAATGTGTAAGATTGGTATAGGAACGAGAGCAAAGGAGTGGGGAGAAGGAAGATGTAAAAATCATGCACAAAAGAAACACTAACTCAATAGAAATACCATGCAAGTGAACTTTGAACGAGGAAATGAACCTGAGTGGCAATGCCAGCATGATCAGTCCCAGGAAGCCAAAGTGTTGGCCTCCCTTTCATTCTATTGTATCGAACCATAATATCCTGTAAAAAAAGTGATGAGAATAGAAGAACTATAGCTTAAGACAGCTAATGCAGAAAAAAACATTGCACTACTAAAAATACCTTTCAAGCCAACTTAAGAACTGCAGAAGCTTACCATTACAGACAACAAAATAAACTGGACTCTTGTATTTCAAATATCCAGGACGTTCATGAACAAATTACGTATTATCTTCCACTATCAACATTACGTTTTTCTTCATTTTTAATCAACCACGGAAGCAGTAATAAACCCGAAAGGAAAGTAATAGACAACTAGGGAGGAAACTACCATGCAACTTAACCATAAGTGCCTATATATTCCAAACCATTAGCAATACACGAGCTAAAGATACAGAACAAACCAAGAAGCATAAAAGAAAACAGGAACATAAATGGAATACCCAAATGACTGTCAATTATCTCAAAATCGATTCCACAACCTCAAGAGTCACAAACATTGCATGCCCCATGTGCAGAGAACCAGTTACGTTAGGAGGTGGCATTGGTATCACAAAAGGGCTGCCTCCTTTGTCAAAACTTGGTTTGAAGTAACCTTGCGACTCCCACCTAAAAAAAACACAAATTCCATGTATGTTCACTTTACCTTGGATTATCCGCATTGCAATATCCAAACTCATAAATAAAAAAATTCCAATAAATCAGCAGAAAGTTTACCATTTGTATATTTTCTCCTCCGACGAAAAATCAAAAGTCTTGGATGTCTTAGGAGAAGTGAAGACATTATTCCCTGACGCAGCAACTGAAGAGAAAAGAGCAAATTCGAACTAATTTCAACTGAAGTCCAAGCAGAGGGCATAAGAATACATATACGATTGCTTATCATCATGACGAATTTTCAAGTGGACAGTCTAGTTCTAGAACATAAGCAACAAGAGCCATGGAAACAGATTTCGAGTTTCGGGGGGACCAAGCGGAGATAAAATAGCGAAGAACATACCAAACAGGGAAAATCTACGTTGAGAAGAACTCGAATCGAAGCGAGATGGAGAAAGTAATCGACGGCGTCGGGAGTTGAAGAAGAGAGTGTTGAGCCGGTGAGGACAGGAGGGGGACAAAAGCGAAGTAGTTGTAGCAGTAGTTGTGGGTAGAGAGAACCCCGTTTCGAGAATCATTGCAGATTCTGAAGAAACGCCGACAGATTCCCGAGAAAATCTGGGGCGAGAATTTTTTGAAACTCCCAGAAAAAGATAAGCCGGTGAGGAAAATGGGGTTTAGACGAGGGAAGGAATAGATTATGGAAGGGCAATTCTGTAATTATTGTTAATTTCTCACGGTAAATATTTGCTAACGGTAATAATTAGTAGATGGTGACGCTTTTTCTAATCAAACTGATCTGTAATTTACCTTCCGAGCCGTTTACAAGATTATAATTTTTATTTTAAAACTTAAAAAAATAAATTATTTGGTTAATTTAAAAACTTTAGTTGTCTTATTTTATAGTGATATAATATTTTTTCCAAAAATTATTGTTTTCATGTAAGTTTCTGATGTTTCTTGTATGATAATTTTGGCAAACCCTCACATTTTTTCATTCTTAAAAATTTACATAATTAAAATATTTTAAACAAACATATCATATAAAAATAGATAAAAAAAAAACCAACCAGTTTTTACTGAATGGATTTTAAACACAGCTTATATATTAGTCACGGTATATTTCTAGTATATATGCCCAATTTAAAGGATACATGTAGCAAATTCTCTTTATATACAGATCGGTGCAATAATTTATATGCAAGCTAATCCCCATGAGTATGGCACAATATAGTTTTCAGTTTCACTATGTAACAATGCATAGATATTATTGGTAATATTTGAAGAAGATTTGATTATTATGTTTTTACATTTAGTACAAGACATCTAAATCTCTTAACCCATCACCTTTGGCCTCCAACCAGCAATTACATCTTCTGTTTGCGCCCGTGTTTTCGTGAATGATTCCCTCGAGAAAACATTCTGTAAATCATCATATGTATGATTGGTTAAACCAAATGAATGGGAACGATCGAAAAGAGAATGCAGTTGCAGAGAACCAACATTTAAGGAGTAGTTCGGTTTTTCAGATATTTACCTCCATGTATGATTTAACGAAAGATAGTGAATCTGGAACAGACCAGTTCTTGAAATGTCCCAATGCAATCTTCATGTGGTATAATTTTGGTCCTAAGGACAAATCCGCTGCTGAGATCTTCTCTCCATTTATAAAAGGGCCCTTCACGGTAAGGAAGAAAAGATCGGTAAATACATGTTTTGCTCTCACACGATCTTACTATAAAATCATCAGAACTACCATGGACACGTCGTGGACAAAAAGGCTTACATTTTCTTTGATATAATCGTTGAATGTACTAAGCTCATCCAATAAAACTTGCTCAGTTCCATCTCCTGGATCTTTGCTCTTGAGGAAACCGATAAATGTGGAGAAGATCTTCGACCCACTGCAGACAAAAATTAAACGTACACACGCAAATTCTTAACTAGACGTATGCAAATTGTCAGATGGTAATTTTTCAGCCAAGAACACACCATTAGGTCCATTACATCAACCAATTACACAACATCATAAGATCACCGGAAAGAAAAGAAAGAGCAAATGCTTACACTGAAGCCTTATCAGGTGGGGTTGCGAGAGGAGGCTCAGGATACTTCTCTTCTAAAGACTGTGTTATAACATCCGAATCCGGAACCCATTTCTCCGAATCCGGAACCCATTTCTCATCAAACTTCACAACTGGGACTTTACCTTCTGGACTTATTTTCAAGAACCTAGAAACAGTAAACAAGAACACAACACATTGAACAAAAACACTAAAGGAAATCACTGTTCATGAAACACACAAAGGAATCTAAGCATTCACCATTCTGGCTTGTTACTCAAATCCACCATTTTCATGTCATAAGCTACATGCTTCTCCTCCATAGTCAGTAACACCCTTTGGCAAAATGGGCCTATCAACAAAAATTATGCATATAATCAACTCATGAAGGAAAAAATAATAACCCTCAAGACCAGTAGCCACTAGACACAGAAGCAATCGAGTTTGCAAATTGTTTAGATTCTAAACCAAGAAACAATCTAAGCACCAATTAAGTTAAACACGAGATTTTTAAAATTCGAAAGTCTAAGTATCTATCTGCAAGTGAAAACTGAGCGAAACATGGATCAAATTGTAGCTTTAGCATCCACATTTCGAAATTGTTTGGATAATTTCAGACACCAAAACACGAAATTCGTAACGAATTATCTATCTGCAAGTCGAAATTGAGCGAAGGAGAGAACAAATTTGCTTATTATCCACATTTCAAAGTTTCCGGC